TAATTTCCATATTTCAAGAGAAGGTCGCTCTAAAAAAGGCACGAGGTGCACTACAGTCGCAGCCTGATCTAGGGGAAATAACATCCATTGGATGTATTAGTAATAATGGATTAATTCATCATAAAATTAAAAGAGGTTCTTTCAAAAAAGAGGATGCGAAAGAATGGACCAGGGAGTGTGTTAGAAAGGCAAATGAAATTTATGAGAGAGGAGTCTTAGTTATTGATAACGCTCCTTGCCATACTTCAGTTGAAGTTGTGGAGGAGGATGAATTTAGGCAACACCAAATTTTCAGACTTGCCCCCTATAGTCCGATGTTAAATCCCATTGAAAAAGTTTGGTCAGTCATTTAAAGCTGACGTAAAAAGAAGTATGGCAGACTCAATTGTTGGGATTTTAAGAGGTTGTAGTGGTATTGACGGCATAAATCAACCCACACATTTTTTTTTACTTTACGAATGTGTAAGAAAACAAAAAGCAAACAAGAGAAAGAACACAAGAAAATAACTTTTCATAACAGGTACAATATTTATATTTATAAATGACAACCGTTTTACAATAACTATTAATATGAGTTACTTCCCTTTGACTGGGCTAAAGTTTTTACCACTAAAAATATCTTTTTATCGGAACTCACAAAAAGCTGAATTATCTTGTCGTTCAAAATGTTCACTGAAAGAGAGTTTAAAGAATCTTGTAAAGCTGAAAATATGTTGATAAACTTTTAGCTTCAAAGAAGTTGGAGGAGTGAATGTTCCGTAATGTCTAATTTGTTTTCGTTGCTCGTAGTTGAAAGTATTGTTCGTAATTGTTTGAACTTAAGTTTTTTTAGTAATATTCAATAACGTAATTGAATAGTTTTTAGTAAGTTGCAGAAGTTTGGTGAGTGAGTTGTTTCGTTGATATTTTAGCTTGAATTACAGCGAAGTTATTTCGTGTTAAAGAACTTGAGATTCTAACTTTGTACTTCGCTGCAGTAATGATACAAGCGTCGTGAACTCGTTTAGCAAAAATGCTAGTCGTCATAAATTCTCATTATTTATTGTACTATGTACAAATGTGGCACAAGGCCGAAAAGGGGGCTGGGGAAAAGGACGGTCATCACATGTCTTAAAATAAAACTTAGCTAGCCACAATCACTGACCCTATCATACTAAACAATATTCCTATCACCAAAACTAAAACAACACATTTATCCATACCTTTCTTACTACATCCACCAAAATACCTCTTTTGACTCAATGAAAAACCTAAATACACCCCTTATGTACAAATATTGTCTGTGGGGGAGGGGGGCATAAAAACAACAACTTTAAAAAAATCCCCAATGAGTATATACAATATGTCGAAATATATTTACAAGAAACTAAACAAAATTAGTGTTAGTATTAAAACCCCCCACAAACTTTGAATGTGGCAGAAATATCAGTTAACCGGACGAAATCGATGCGAGACTATAAAAATAAGGACACATTCAAACCGTCAAGCACTCACACAAGCACTCACTCATCCATACACAACAAATACGAAAGCACACGCACGAAACGAAAGGCGCCCCGCATCCACCAGAGAACTGACATCACTGACCACCTAAACGAGGGAGGGGACGGGGAGTTAAACTAAAGGAAAAAAAAAAGAGCTAGCTTCAAGGACAAAAAACTTTCCCTGCAACATGCGAACCATGAGGCCTTCAACAAACTTGCACAACGGCACTACCGCCTTGCACCGAAAAAAGGCGTGACCAATGGTCTCGACTTCCCCAGTACAGCGACGACAGTTTGGATATTTCTCCAAGCCTGCTGCACAGAGTCTCTTGCCGACCCAGAGGGCTTCACGAATCACCAGCCAAGTGAGTGATGCCTCATCGTTATTGAGGCATTTCAACCCAGGCGCCCAAGGCCATATCGAGCTTCGTAAGACCGAGCTCGCCAATTAGATCATCTTGTGCGCCCCCCCCCTAACTAATACTTGATACAATGCCTTACGAGACAACGCCTGGGCGTTGGAGAGGCCATCCGTAGCCCGCAAGAGGAGCTTCAGAGCGCGACGACATTTACGATAGAAGGAGCACTCGGCACGTGGTGTACGGCTGGCCTCCTCTTCGCACGAGTGCACACTTCTCAGGGACGGGAAATGTTTCTGGACGTCTTCTTTCCAAAAGGCACCCTCCGCATCCGACCCGCGACACATTCGGTCTAGAAAGGTGATGCGAAGCATATATTGACGAATCTCAATGCTAGGCATACCCAGACCGCCCTCCGAAGGATGAAGGCAACAGACCTCGCGAGATACCATATGGGCCTTGCCTCTCCACAAGAAAGAACAAGACCTTGACTAATGACATTAGTCGGGCATACGGAAGTGGAAGCAAAGAGAGTCGGTACAGGAGAATTGGATATATGTGTGAACCACATACTTCCGCCCTTTCCTTCAGGGAAAGTCTCCTCCGAGACCACAGATTAACCGCGACCTCGACCTTCCCTTGTACCTCTGACCAATTCATTTCCAACTGGAGATCAGGACCGAACCAGACGCCGAGTATCTTGATCGGCCCATCCGTCCAGAGGAAAGGTCCGGGAAGAGAAACTCCCTTCCACGCACCCAACCGCAAGGCCACAGACTTATCACGGTTGATCTTGGCCCCTGTCACCATCTCATACCCACTGATCTCCTTGCTGACTTCGTTAATCTCGGCTCTGCTCGACACAAGAACCGAAACGTCGTCAGCATAGGCTGAATACCTGGCCGAAGTGGAAGCACCAGGCAGCGAAATTCTGCGTAGGACCGGATTCGCCTTTAACTTGCGAAGGAAAGGTTCCAACGCAAGAACGTAAAGCATATGCGAGAGCGGACAACCTTGACGAATGGAGCGAGACAATACGAAAGGCTTCGATCTTACCCCATTCACTTCCACCAGCGCACCGGGTCTCGCATACAAGAGTCGGATCCAGGAGCGAAAGTCGGCTACGAAACCGGCCGCCGAAAGGACAGCCTCCAGAAATCGATGGTCAACCCTATCGAAGGCCTTGGACTGATCCAAATTGATCAGCGCGGCTTCACTGTCGACTTGTTCTAAGATCAAGCGTACCATGTGAAGGTTATCCTGAATAGTCCTGCCCTTCACAGCACAAGTCTGTTCGGGGCCAATCAGACGAGACAGGACAAGCTGCAGACATTTGGCTAAGATCTTCGCCAAAATCTTTAAGTCCGTATTTAACATCGTTAAAGGGCGAAAGTTCCCTAACCCATCCCCACTGTCCTTGTCCTTACGCAGCAACTTGATCACACCCCTGGTGAAGCGTTGGGGTAAAGACCCCTGCTTCATCCAGTGGTTGAAAATCAGCTGCAGCAAAGGAACAAAAACGGGCGACAGCCTCAAGTACACTTCGTAGGGAAGACCATCTAGTCTGGAGACTTATCCAGGCCAACCTGCTTTCAGCGCTTCCCAGATTTCCGACTCTGTTATGGGACCCTCGCACCTAGCCACTTCAGCTGCCGAGAGGCAGGGAAAGTCAGCTAAATAGGCGTCGAACTGAGCAGAGCTCAGACCGGGCTCCCTGGTGAAAAGATCCTGAAAGTAATCCCGAAATGCCTCGCATATGCCCGCGTTTGTAGTCACGGTTCGCTTATCCGGCAATGTGACGCCCGCTATATGTCGCTTAGACGCGTTCCTATTCTCCTCTGCACGCAGTTCAGCGGCCATGTTCGTCGCCTCAGAAGACATTCTTTTTAGCCTAGCCCTAACTACCAGAGCTTGATCCTTCTTGATAAGCAAGGAGGCCAACTCTGCCTTAGCTACGACTATGTCCCCACTAACACGGGATTTCACGGCCCGATCAACTTTTTCTTCTAAAGCCGTTTGCGCCGCTAATCTATCTAGATTGAATCGGCAGCAAACGTTCTAATTTTGGATTTTAATTTGCCCCACCAGGCGTTTCCCACAACCGCCCCCGTCAATTCCCTCTGAATGATTAGTAGCAGCTGGTCCCGGAAACCCTGCTCACCAAATAGTGAACAGTTAAATTTCCAGTAACCAGCTAGTCTAGCCCTAGGCTTATCTAAGTTTACACGGACACGGACAAGCCTATGATCCGTGTAAACTATATAGTGGAAGCTTGGACACCCTAAGAGCCCTACATCGACTCTCCTAACTAAGACTCGGTCCAGGTAGCTCGCAATCGAGCCAGGAGCCGAGTTGCCACTATTAGTCAAAGTCCATGCTACCTCCCGAGGGTGTTCATTCCGGTACTTATCGACGAGACCAAACTCATCGATAAAGCCCCGAAATGGTTTCACGTCCGGGTTGTTAGTACCTTGACTTTGCCCTATACGATCTATATCGGGGTCAAGGATGGCATTCCAATACCCCGCTAAAACTACCCGACGAGACGTCGTCAAGTACGGCGAAATCTGCCGAAACAAAGCAGGCCGCTCGGCATGGATATTGGGCGCATAAACCCCAATGAGACGTAGAGCCTTATCCTTTATGGTAACATCCAGCACGCAAAGCCTGCCCGCCGGATCCGCGAAGACAAGGGTACATGCAGCCTTCAAAGACCTGCTCACTAGCCAAGAGACACCTCTCGAACGACCATCAAAACATGCTGAATAAAGGGCGAACCCCCTAGACAGAATGTTCTCACAGTCATGAGAAGAAAACCGGGTCTTTTGCACACAACACACATCCACCCCGAAGCGCTGAAAGTCACGAGAGAACCTCGCCCTGCGAGACTCGGACCTCAGGCCTCGGACATTTACACTAGCTAACCAGAGAGCCATAGTGAAGCCTGATTAGGGTTGAACTACTGGTTTGAACATGGACGGGGTAAGGATACCGACCGCCTCTCCCATAGACCCATGGCCCATCTCAGTCTTGATGGTGCCGTCTTGGGAGATACCGCCGATATCCCAGGGGAAGGTCAATTTAAGTGCTCTATATAGGGAGGAGTTGGTTTATTCAACTTGAGGCGATATTTTCAGCACGAAAGGTCACACGACAGGACACTAAATACGCCTCCGTGGTACAAGCCTTACCAGCATCAATCGTTGAAGAAGTGGAAGACATCCTTCTCAATACACCGGACCAACTCCCATACACCTGCCTCAAAGAAGCCATCCTGAAACGAACTGGACGTTCGGACGAAGACCTCATCAGAGACTTATTCTCTAATGTGTCTCTCGGCGATAGGACACCATCCCAGCTCCTCCGCCTGATGAAGAGCCGCCTCGGGAACAACACCATGGCAGAACCCATCCTCCGAGGGCTATGGATGGATCGGTTACCACCGAATATAAACAAGTTCTAGCCCTGGTACCAGTAGAGACGCCCTTGACGTTGTGGCCGACTCAGCCGACAAAATATATTCCCAAGCTCACCAAAAAAGTTCACCAGGTTGAGAGCCACGGAAACCACACACAACGCCTCGAAGAGGAGATGACCCAGCTACGCGCAGAGTTGAGAGACCTGAAACTCTCCCTATGCCGGAGGCAGCGAAGCCCAGCACCACGCACGCGAAATCGAAGCCGTACCCGCAGCTCAAGTCCAGGACGGAGAAACAGTGTGGACGAATGTTGGTACCACAAAACCTTCGGTGACCGAGCCCGCAAGTGCCACCCTCCCTGCAGACCAAATAAGGCCCAGGGAAACGAATAGACCGACAGGCAGCGACGACGATCCCTGTCGGTACTCGCTCACACAGTCGTCTCTTCTACGTGTGGGACCGTAACAATGGCCTCAACTTCCTAGTTGACACTGGCGCAGCCATCAGCGTAATACCACCAACCAATAGATCCGCCTTGAAACCCACCCCATTCCAACTTCGAGCGGCAAACGGATCCACCATAGAAACCTATGGGAACAAGGAACTTACCTTGAACATCAACCTCGGGCGCGACTTCAAGTGGTCATTCACCGTAGCTGACGTCAGGATACTCTTGCTCGGTGCCGACTTCTTGGCACATTACAACCTGGCTGTCCATATGAAGACGAGGACCCTGTCCGACAACATGACAACCATCAAGATCACAGGGATCCCATCGAGCTTCAACACAACTAGGATCAGCGTGGCAACACAGCACGACCCCCACTACGTAGAAATCCTGCGCCGGTACAAGCACCTCACGCAACCCATCAAACCAACTGATGCAGGCGACCATCAGACCCAACACCATATAAAGACCACCGGACAACCAGCATATTCACGGCCACGACGACTCCCTCCACACAAATTAGCATATGCCAAGAAAGCGTTTGAGGAGTTGCTGGCCGACAATATCATCCGACCCTCAGACGGCCCATATGCTTCACCACTGCATCTGGTACCCAAATCCGACGGGGATTTCAGGATCTGCGTGGATTACCGGAAACTCAATGCGTCCACAGTGCCCGACCGGTATCCTGTTCCGCATATCCACGACTTTGCCTCAGGTTTACAGGGGGCCCGCATTTTCTCAAAAATTGACCTGACCAAAGCCTACTACCAAGTTCCAGTCGCTCCGGAGGACATCCCAAAGATAGCAGTCACAACCCCTTTTGGACTGTTTGAATTCCTAAAAATGCCCTTCGGACTGCGCAATGCAGCCCAGACGTTCCAGAGGCTGATGGACGAAGTTCTGCGTGGACTACCATACGTCTACGCATACATTGATGACATCCTAGTGGCTAGCAGAGACGCTGATCTCCACAAACAACACCTGGAGGAAGTGTTCCGCCGTCTAATACATTACGGCCTCCGAATCAACCCAGACAAGTGCGAATTCGGTGCACAACACATAGACTTCCTCGGACACCACACAGACGCTCAGGGAATCACTCCACTTCCCGATAAGATAAAAGCCATACAGGATTTCCCGATGCCCACATCGATAAAGCAACTGCGACGTAAATTTTTACCGCAGGTTTATCCCCGGATGCTCAAAACTCCTCACCCCCCTGACAAATCTTCTCCAGAGAAAAAACAAAGCCATCACCCTGGAGGGCGACCAGGAAAAATCATTCCAAGCAACAAAAAACTTTTTAGCTAACTTTACGAAGTTAGCACATCTTAACGAAGACACCCGGACTCAGACACATCTAACAACAGATGCCTCAGACACTGGAGTTGGAGCTGTGGTAGAACAGGAGATTGACGACCAACGCAAACCCATCGCATTCTTCTCGGCTAAATTATCACCAGCCCAGTCCAGATACAGTACCTTCTCGAAAGAACTTTTGGCTATATACCTCGCCATCAAACACTTCCGACATCTACTGGAAGGCCGGAATTTCACCGTTTTGACCGACCATAAACCCTTGACAACTTCTCGCAATCGCAACCATCACAACCGAGGTCAGAGCCAATCCCAGAATCACCCACCACTCCACCTAGGCAGACCCGTCTTGGAAGGAAAGTCACCTTCCCTAAGAAGGAAGCCTTGGTGTTGGTCGTGTGGTGTGTCGGGCCACATGGCGAAGGAGTGCCCCAGTAAGAAGGGCACACAAGCTGCACCACAACCGGCAGCTGCAACAGCAAAAAAAATTACTGCAAGTCAACCGGAGGAGGGGACGTCTAAATCGGACGGAGAGTGGAAGGAGGTGGTCAGAGGCAAGAAGTCTCCGAAAGTTTTACCTCCACCCCCACAAAAAGAGATACCTCAGCCGGTAAAAGTGAAAGAGGTGCAGGCAACAAAAGAAGGCCAGCAGCAGCAGCAGCAGCAACCAAAACAACAACAGCAGCAGCAGCAGCCGAAACAACGGAAGCAACAGAGGCAGCCAAAAGAACAGCAGCAGCAACAACAACAAAAACAACAGTAGCAGCAACAACAACAGATGGAGGTGGACAGAAGGCCCCCACCTCGTGCTTCATCCCTGAAAAGGTGCAGGGAGGAAGACGAAGACGACGAGGAGGAAAATAAAAAACAAAAAGAACCTAGCAGTAGTAGGGCGGAGGAAGGCATGGAGAGATCCAGGTCGCTCTCCGTCCCTGCTTCTCCAAGAAGATCGGTGGCTGCCACCAAACCTAGGAGCCACCCTCCCTCCCCGTCCCGTGCTCCACCCCCTTCCCCTCCACTTCCTCCTCCCTAGATGCTTCGGCCACCCTGCCCCACACATCTACCTCTTCCCCTCCCCACCCGTCCAGAGAGAAAAAGAAAATGTTTGCAGCCCCCGAGTCTATATGCAAAGTCGACAGAAACGACTTAAATGGGGCCTGACAAAGCAGAGGAAGGCCATCTTAGGAGGTCTGTACAAGATGGACGCTGTCGACGGAAAAAGTATAGAGGACCCCCGAAACTTCCCACAGGCCCTGGGAGTGATAACCTGCGTGAGGGAGAAGGGGGCGTATCTGAAGGTGTGGAACCACATCTTTGAGGCGAAGGAAGCCTTCCCCGACATCCGTATAGTTGAAACGGACAATTCCACCCTTAACAAACTGAGAAACTTTTTTGTGCTGGGAGGGTCCCCGTGTTGCTCCATCCCTCCTTATATAGGGCGTTAAAGCTAACTTACCCCACGGACGTCGGCGGGATTGTCCTAGACGGTCGTATGACGACCGAATTAGGAACCGGAAATCTGGGACAGGCCGTCGGCGTCCTTACCAACGCAGATTTCCGCCCGGTATGTGAGTAGGCTTTTTGCATGTTTTCTTTTCTTTCTTTTTTGCAAGCCTAAACCATGTCTGTCAAGATAGCGACGCTGAATGTGAATGGCTTGAGGGATCGGGGTAAGGCGGCCCGCCTGCTCCGGGATCTCCTGTCGTTCGGCGTGGATGTTGCCGCGATCGAAGAGACCCACTTTGTTTGCAGTTCCGATGCGTGTGTGTTGTCTAACGACTTTGTCGTCTATTCAGCATATGGGGACCGAACTGCCAGAGGAGTGTCTTTGCTGGTGAAGCGGACTCTAGATGCGAAGGTGGACCTTGTGCATACTGATGCCGAGGGACGGTTGATCGTGGCCGATATTGCCGTGAAAAGTGGTTCGTTTCGGGTCGTTGCGGTTTATGCGCCCAACGACCAGGAGGAGCGGGTTTCGTTTTTCGGCGGTTGGGGCCTTTCCTGGTGGATTCAAGCGCTTAGTTCTAATGGGGACTGGAATGCCGTCCTGGACTCCAAGATAGATCGGGGGCGGGGTGCTAGCGGGAGAAGGGGCGATCGTAGCCTGGTCGATCTGATCAAAGATTTCGGTCTCGTTGAGAGATACCGGGTCGATCACACCGGGGGGAATATGTGGACGTGGGCTCTTAGCTGGCCTTGTGACAAGGTAGTTAGCTTGACAGAATGTTAGTGAGAAGGGCCGACATAGATCTGTTAGATTGTCCCACGTTCCACTGGGTAGGCTATACGGACCACAAACTCGTTTGTGCCCGTGTGGCGTTAGAACATAGGCCTAGAATGGCTGGCTACTGGAAGTTCAATCTGTCTTTACTGGACAGGCAGGACTTCCGGGAGCATCTGACTAACTTAGTGCAGCGGGAGCTAGTGGGGGCGGTTATCGGGAATAGGTGGTGGGACAGACTTAAATGTAGAATTAGGTCCTTCACCACGGATTTCAGCAAACGGCTCGCCCTAGATAGAGCTGATAAGGTGAGGACGCTTAAAGCTAGTCATGCCCGGGCGGTGGCTGGGGGGGATCCCCTAGAGATAGCCGTAGCTAAGGAGGCTCTGCAGCGTTTGAATAGCGAGCGCTACATGGGCCAGGTAATTAGGCATAGGTTAAGCAAGATGTCTTCCGAAGCCGTGAATATGGGCGCAGAGCTGCGCAGGGAAGAGGTCCGTCGAGGTGGCGATCGTTCTATTCGTGAAGTCAAAACCCCAGAAGGGCGCACCCTTCGGGCCACTGACGACATGTGCGAGGCGTTTCGGCGGCATTTCAAGAGCCCTTTTACCAGGGAGCCTGGTCTTCGTGAGGACGAGTTTCGCAGCTATTTGGCTGACTTTCCTCGGCTTTCGCCGACTGAAGCGGCTAGCTGCGAGGGAGAGGTTACCGAGGGCGAGGTCTACGCGGCTTTGAAGAAGGTCGGCAGAGGCAAGTCGCCCGGTCTGGATGGTCTGCCCTATGAAGTGTACTTTAGGCTGTCGCACATCTTTGTCCCGATTTTGACGGTCGTCTTCAACAACTGGTTCCGGCAGGGGTCTCTCCCCGACCGGTTCTCCAGGGGTGTGATCACGCTTTGAAAAAAGGGCAAAGATGTGGGGGGAAACTAGACGACTATAGGCCCATAACTCTGCTAAACACAGAGTTAAAGATTATGGCCAAGATCCTGCAGGAGCGCTTGCAGTCAGTTGCCGAGTCTCTGTTGGGTCCCGAGCAGACCTGTTCTGTGAGGGGTCGAACAATTCAGAGCAACCTGCATTTGATCCGCACGATCATAGAGGGTGTAAAAGACGACGAGTGTGCCGCGCTGATCAATTTGGATCAGTCCAAGGCATTTGATAGAGTTGACCATCGCTACCTTGCTACTGTCCTGCAGGCCGCCGGATTCGCACCCGACTTCTGCCGCTGGATTAGCCTCCTGTATCGCTCCCCCAGTGCTGTGGTACAGGTGAACGGAAAGCTGTCGGGCGCTTTTGCGCTGTCTAGGTCGGTTCGTCAGGGTTGCCCGCTGTCGCCCCTACTTTACGCTTTGGCGTTGGAGCCTCTCCTTCACCGGCTGAGGGACGGGGCGTGCAGGCCGGCCCTATGCGGAATCGCCGTTCCTGGCGGGGCTCGAGCCAGGGTTTCCGCGTACGCCGATGACGTAACTGCTTTCGTGTCGTCCCGCAGAGGCATCAGGGCAGTACAGAAGGCGTTTGATCGGTACGAAAAGGTGACAGGGGCCAAGATTAACCGCGACAAGTCGTCCGGCTTGCGGCTAGGCGCCTGGAAGGGGGTCGATCTTCCAGGGCCCTTCGGTTGGACGGACGGTCCTGTCCGCATTCTCGGAGTGTAGTTTGGACCCGACCTCCAGCTGGAGAAGAATTGGTCCGAAGTACGAGCAAAGGTCTACGCCGCCGGTCAGACTTGGCGTCGACGGAGGTTGTCCGTGAAGGGCAGGGCGGTGGTGTGTGCTACATACATTTTCCCTCTTGTCCTTTATCGATTGTCCGTACTTCCTCTCTGTGACGACCACAGGAAACCGCTCGAGCGCTCGCTAACCTCCATTCTATGGAGGAGACGCGGGAATCGGGTCGACAGAGAAGTCTGTGCACAACGTCCGTGTCATGAGGGGCTGGGAATGCCACACTTGCTGAGCCACAAACGTGCCTCGAGGTTGGCTTTCCTACGCCGCGCTTTGACAGGTGGAGATCCGATTATTGAGGGGATTCTGAGGGCTGCCTTCCCTCGCCTTACCATCAGTCCCCCAAGCTCGCGGGTGGATCGCCGTCGTAAACACCGGGTTCAATCGGTTTTCTTTAGCGAGTGTCGGTCGGCCTTGTTGGCTGTCCCTTGGTCCAGTGACCTTTCTCGGCCTAGGAAAGACTTCTATCGTTTGCTAGTGGAGGGGGTCGCGAAGGATCCCCTACGTGAGGATCTCGACATGTCGGATGGTGAGTTTCGCTCTCACTGGTCTTGGGCGCCAGCGGCGGATTACCTCAGTAACCCTGAGTTTTCGCTTACCTGGCGACTGGCTCGGAATCGGCTGCCTCTCAACGACATGGCCTTCATATGGGGCTTGGCGGACTTGCCAGACTGCGATCGGTGTGGCCTTGGTCTAGAGGAAACGGCTTCGCACGCCTTCTTCCATTGCCCCCGGGTCCGCCCCTTATGGGACCATGTCGGCGAGCTGACGGCTCGTCTCGCTCCCGAAAAGCTTGTGCCCATGGATCGCGCATACGCGTGTGACACGTGTCGCCCCCCGTTCCGGGGTGAAACGGATGGTGTTTCTCATGCTGCTAGCCACGGCCCGAATGGTGATATGGACGACGCGAGAGGAGGAAGTCTTGCGGGGTAACCGTCTTTCTCATCAGGATCTGATCCGATTCTTTGAGGATTCTTTTCTGTTTTAGGTCAAGCCTACGTTACATCGGGGTGGCTTCCTGTGGTGCCCTCCCCTTGGTTAGGTTAGACAAGCCTTGGTGTACCTAGTTAATGCGAGTAAGTGTTGTTCCCGGCCTGCCCCCGGCCACATCTTTAGTTATGATCCAGCCTGAGATTCCCAACCTCCCCAGTTTGTTTTTTGACCCCCCACTTTCTATCTTGACTGGGTCAGCTTTATAATTCCCCATGCCCGTATGATTTTTTATCACCTTTCCCACTCCCTTAGCGAGAGAGCTGCTTGATTTTGTTCCAATGGGCAGAATACAGTGGTCTCCCTGCATTTTGAGGGTTGGACGGGCCCTACTAACATCAGTTAACGTTTTATTTTCATTTATGTTAATATTTTAGTTTGTTATTGGGTTCACATCCCACCCCCATCTCATTTTTTCATCTTAGAATTTTTGTACATATGTGTTAGGATCATTATGACATGGGGCGCGTTTTGTAGGTCTCCCTAGAGTGGATGTGGTATTATGGTGCAAGGAGGATTGATTGGTGACGGACGAGTTCTTATGGTGAATGAGTAAATTGTAATGTCTGAATGGGTCGTGAATCAAATTAGCTAGGTATAAGATAGTGAAGACCAGCCTTACCCCCTCCCCCTTTTCGGCCTTGTGCCACAATTTTGTATTTTTTACAAAATAAATCTCGCCTCCCTGATTCGCGACTTTGACGCGCCCAGTCAAGTCGACCAAACCCAGCAGCTGACGGGACCCAGCAGCAGTAGCAGCAGTTGTTCAAACAGTCTTTTTCAGGGCTAACTTCCGAAAGTCATTCGATCACCACTCTTCGAGGCTCCACTCACTTCACTCTTCGCTACTGCCTTCCCTCTGTGACCCCAGCTCACTCCTGCAGCATCCACCTCACTCCTGCAGCTTCCAGCACTCCTGCAGCTTCCAGCACTCCTGCAGCTTCCAGCTCTCTCCTGCAGCTTCCAGCACTCCTGCAACTTCCAGCACTCCCGCAGCTTCCAGCTCACTCCTGCAGCTTCCAGCTCACTCCTGCAGCATCCAGCTCACCCAACAGCTTCCAGCGGCCTCCAGCTCACCCCTGCGGCGCTCTACTGACGTCCCGCTACCTATTCCAGCACCCGCTGACGACCTAATCCAGTGCCCACTGACGTCCAGCGCCCGTTATCGTCCGGACACCGTTCTCGAACAAACGACCTCTGTCGTCTTACCATCTACCGTTCGCAAATAAAGACACGATTTCCATCGTCTACAACGGACCATCTGCGTTTGTCATCCTTCTTTGCTATTGCCAACTCCTTGCCTTTGTGTCCCCTGTTTTAGTTGTACGGTCGATTGGCACTCACACCTCTCGGCCCGCTGCAACAAGCTAAAAGGTGATGATCAGGGATCTTTAGCTACTAAAGAATTCCGCCTCAGCAAGTTAGAAGCGATGATCTCCGAAGCAATTAATAATATTTCCCCTGAGACTTGCACTAACTTCGTATCTGGAATACAGAGATTACTTCCCTCTGATGTCTTTTAAATAAATTCCTTAGGAACGTTTATATTTTTTTTTATATCACTTTTAAGTAAAAATGAAAGAATAAATATTAAATTTATTAGTATCATATTAATTCTCAATTTGAAGTTGATTATTTCTCATTTTGAAGTTGTTTAATTTTTTTACCTGAAAATAAGTCCATTTTGAAGTTGAAAAGGTATAGTTACTCAATCCGATTGAGTCAATCGTTAGTGTGTAACTAACAAAACTAAAATTAATTTTCTGTCAATCAGATCGCAGCTATTGTGACTTAATTCGACATGTATTTTAAAGTGGTGTTTTTCTTCACAAGACGCACATTTGGGCTCTTTTGTCGTGAAAGTAATTTGTAAGAAGAAAAACTCTTTTAAAAAGAGTCTTTTTAAAATTTTTCTGTAAAAAGTTTTAAGATTTTCGTTGGGGATGCCGAAAGTCTAGGGTCAACATTATTTATCCCACATATCTTTATAATATGCATTTCTTCCAACCGCTCCAAACTTGATTGACTCTTTGGATGAACAATAGAAAAAAAAAATCATCAGACGGTGCGTGATCGGGTAAATAAAAACTTCCGGTCTAAACCGGAAGTGTACCGGTACAATAATAAAAAAATGGCTGCTTACATGGAGAGTATGCAGCGGGTTTTCCAAAACTGTGGCAAAGTAAAAGATATTTTAGCCCATTCTGCTAAAGTACATTCGGTAGCTTGGAGCTGTGACGGCAGAAAGTTAGCATCTGGATCTTTTGACAAAACTGTTACCATCTTTAGTTTAGAGAGAGAACGTTTGGTAAGTGTTTTTTTGTTGTTGTTTATAAACTACAACTACACATACATTGCGTTTGTTTTTAAATTTTATTAGATTTTTTTTTTACAATATCTAAGAAATTAATTTATATTTATTTCTGTCTGTCTACCTAGGAATTTATACAGCTGAAAAAATATTTTCATGAAAGACGAAATAAAATGTTTGTTCAGATATAGCCTCTTTTACTTTTTATAAAAAGTTAAGAAAAAAAAAGATCAGTTTTTCAACTTTTTCAGTAATACTCTTTCTTATGTTTAGATTTTAGAATATTCAATCCACATTTTTATCGGATATCTATAAAAGCAATAATCAGTCAAATTAAAATACCATTGTGATGACATGTCTTCTTAATCTTTAAGTGAGGTGCCGCCAAAAATGAATTTTTTTTTCCGAAAGAAAAAGAAGAAAAAAAAATTGCTACGCATTGTTTTGAAAAAAAAATTGCCAAAAATTAGGGCATTGTTGTCTGAATTAAATGAAATGTTCAGAACTTATTCATTAATGAATGAATTATATACTGATTTGGTTCTTTTATAGAAATATTTTGACCCCATTTTGATAAAAATAAGTCTCATTTTTTTATTTTGGGTACCGTAATAATGACAATTTTTTTTTTTTTTTTTTTTTTAGTTTATAAAGAGAAATCCGTGAAGAGATAATTTCAGGTTAAAAAAAAAAAAAAAAAACTTTTGCAATATCAAATCAAAAAATCTTGAAAATTTAATTAATTTGAAGCATTACAAAAATAAAAATTCACTAAAACTCAAACAAAAAAAACAATTTTTGTTGAGAGTTGGTACTTGCATAATTTAAATAAAACACATTATTTTCTTTCAGATTTGACAATTAATGAATATTGATTTTTGAAAAAATTACTTGTAATTTTAAAGTGCAACTTTTTTTTTAAAAAAAAACCTTTTCTAAATCCTTTTGTTTGCTGATGGCAAAAAAAGATCTTTTTTCTTTTATTAAAGATGTTTGAAGAATCGAAAATGTAAAAGTTTGATGGCATTTTCACATCAGATATTTTTAAAATAATTTATTTTATTTATTTACAACTGTTAGATTATTTTTGGGTATGGAAGATCAAGTAAGGGATAATTAAATTCTGAATTGACTCCCTGTATGAGGTTAATTATATATGATGTCTGGAATTTTTTAGAATATTGACATTGTTAATGTTAACTGAAAGTAAATAAAGTGAAGGCAATCAGTAAACAGTATCAGTTCATTAAGTTTTTATCAATTTTAGGATAGGAACATTGTATCAGGTGATCCCTTCGATGTAGTTTCACTCTGACAGTAAGGAAGTTATGATGTTGAGAACATTGGTGAAAGACAATGAAGTAGATAGCACCCCAGTGATGATCATAAACACTGCTAATAAAACCATATGGGTGTCACCTGAGATGGGGCTGGAAAATGTGAAGAACCAAGTTAGGTACAAAAAGGAAATGACAATTAGCAAAGATAAGCCTACCAAAATCAATGAAGATGAGCTTGTAGTTCCAGTAGACTTTATCTCAGTTACTAAGTTAACATGGAGGTGATAACAATTCTGATAAGAACCCATACCATAAAAATGAAGATCGGCACCAACTCAACAGTAAAATTAAGACTGTATCGGACACCCATTCACTAAAAAGAGTTGAAAGAATTGGCAATTCAAGAAATGTTAGATGCAGGAATTATAAAAAAAACTATGATCACTTTTCCTATAGCAGTGGTAATGAAGAAGAATGGAAGGCATAAGTTCTTTGTCAATATCCAAGTTTTGAAAAAAATCACTAAACCATTAGCTTACTCTCTACCCCTGATTGACAATATTTTGACTTTGTTCAGATTCATGGAAATATGAGTGTACTGTAGGATACTATAGAAGATTTATCATTGAGCTTTTCAGAATAGCAACACCACTGATAAATCTAAACAAGAAATATGCTAGATTTAAGTTGACCAAAGATTGCCAGCAATCCTTTTATATGCTAAAAGAATAACTAACAGATGTGCCCCTATTAACAAACCAATAACATTGTATACTGATGCAAGCAGCATGTGCATTGGTGCTTGTTTGACACAGCGCTGTCTGGAATAGGAAGGTTCCATAGATAGTATAAAGGAAGAAATCCCAATTTATTTTCTATTGCATAAACTCTTCCCTGCCTAGTAGAAATGGCCTATAATCATAAAAGAGGCCTATGCAATGGTGTATGCACCCCAGAAATTGTGTTAAAGGTAGATCACAAACTATCACAGTAGCTGTTTGAAGCCAAATGAACAAATATGAAAATTCAGCAGTGGTCAGTGAAACTAAATGGTTACAATTACCATATAGAATATCTATCAGGTAAGGAAAAAAAACCTGTGCAGACCTATTGCTGCAAATTCCAAGGAAGTTGGAACAAGAATCATTAATAGTGAACAATAAGGCTTATCAGATTAATATTATAAATTCCCTTAGGTTGAAGGATAGGCCAGCTTGGAGGGACTCTGACAAGAAGGATGAACTCAGAATAAAAGAAGTGATGAAGAAGTACAAAAAAGACAAGGGTTATAATTCCCTAAAGGAATCAATAGAGGCAGAAAGCAAGCAGAAAAATTCCAGATTTTGGATGAACTAATATATTGTGTGTCCCATGAAAAGGAAGATCCTAGATTACGATTGTACATGCCTAAATTTTTTATTTCGTTTTTAACAAAGGAAATAAAAAAAAAATGTTGCTTTCTTAGTTAATAATTATTTAAGTAATGATTTTCATGTGTTTATAACTATACGATAATATATTAGGTGGCCTAAAAAGTTGTTTTTTGCCACAAGATGGTATTAGTAGAATTTACCTGTTAATAAACTTTGACAAAGTTTGGTTTTTGATTGTATTGCAATGTCTATTAGTGACATTTTTTTTAAATTGTCAAAATTAGCATAGGTTTGTTTATTAATTTTAATATCAAAGATAGAAAATAATTAACATTTTTGAAATATTCTGCTATGTTGTTTTTTATAAAGAAAGCCAAAAATGCAGATAAAAAAACAAATTGTGTAGTTTATAGATATGGTAGTGTGAATGATTGACAATGTTAAAAATGGTTTGTAAAGTTTCATGACAGTTCTTGCTAAGCTTATTAACTAAGCTTGGTAGAAAACAAATGAAGATATTACTTAAGACTATTCAACATTATACAGTATGGAAATAGCTAACCTAATCAAACTTTTAAAATCATTTAAGCTAACATAGCATAAATGATTTTCAATGTTTGCATGGCTTTCACCTGCCACTGGGATGAAAAAAAGACATACTGAACTGTATGTAACAGGACAGGCGAGGAAAGTGGTTAGTGACTTGAGGTATTGAGAGATTTGATAATTCTGAGTGAAGGAGTAGAGATATTAGAAGTGGAAAAATATGGGAGAGTGCTTAATCAGATTGGAGTCTGATGGATAAAAACAATCTTGTTTAAAAATATTTATTTAAACCCATAAAATACTTATAAGGAGAGCCTCAGAAGAGTTTGAACTCAAATTAAACTAAGTAAGATTCAACATAACTGACACCCCTGGCCAACTCCATAACCCCAAGGAAGTTGGCATGAAATAACTAATGAGTTTGCTAAATGTCCATAGGACCTTTTGATAAGTATTTTTTTGTTTTTTAAATTTTGGAAACTTAGATCTAAATCCAAGTTAAAATTGTGAAGCACTTCATTATATGGCCATCCGGGTTATATAACAGGAGTTATTTACTGCTAAGACGTTAAAGCTCCTGCATTACTTAATATAGACATCTCTCGGTGCCTCAATGGTAGAAAAGAAGTGATTGAGACAAAACAGCTCTATAGCTGTACAATTTTTACATTTCACTTTTAATTGTTGATAATTTTTCAAGTGTCTTTTTTTCTGTTGGCATGTTTACACCATTTTCAGCAAAATTTCCCAAATATTCAAGAAAGATTATGATTGAAATTTCATTCAGACCAACTTAGCCACAGCCTGTCAAATGTGGATAAAGTATTATGCTGAACATTCACTTTTTTCCAGGTACACAGCAAATAAAATCCACTAGACAATGCTGATTCTGGTGAGGGGAGTGAACAAGTGAAACTGATTGCACTAAACGCATACCATGTTCACTGAAGGATCCAATTAACTGACAATACATCCTACCTTATTTGAAAGAAAGTGTAATTCCATCAGGATAATACTAGATAGCATATTTATCTGTTACAGAATATCAAGTGAGAATATTAGCCATTGATAGCTTTTGGGAGATGAATACTGTTAGAAATGGACAAATTTTTTTACAAATCCTGACTGAAGTAATCAATAACTGTTTAATGACTTTGTCTTATACAATCTATGTACATTAAAATCTTTAGATACTATTTTAAAAAAATATAAGTTTCTAAAATAAATTCTAATATGAATGTAAAGTACTTTCATTTTTTTCCCAGATTAATTACTGACCTCATTTGAAAGTACAACAAATTTACTGACCTCATTTAAAGTTATAACAAACTAAGTAAATATTATCTTCAATTTTATTATTTGCTGAAATGTTGTCATTTGATTATTTCTTTCAGTTTAATTTAACTTGCTTTTTAATGTAACTACTCATACCTTCATTTAACTATTTGTTCTGCCAGTAAACAATGTGAATCAGAAAGAAAAGAACCTTTTGGTGAGAAAATATTACTACCAATACTTGATATTAATATTATTTATTATATCACTACTGATTTTACTAATGTATGTAAATAAAGCATCAAAGATGGCAGTTCTAGGTGTTGGAGAAAATAAAGAATAACAGAATAGTTAGAACAGATCTTTGCACCTTCCCAGCTCAGTAAAAAACAAAAGAGAACAAAAAACTGTCATATTAGGGGAGGTTTGTTTTTAAGGTAAAAAGATGTGAATTTGAATTTTGCCAAAAGCCTATTTTATTTCAGGTTTTTCCTGTTACTAATGGCTACAGAATAATAGACTAAATATTTTCAATAAAAAATCTATTGAAATTGAGATGGCACAAATACTCATTAAATAAAAAAAACTGGTCAGTGTATATCAAAAGAAAAAACTTTTTTTTTTTAGTTTTTGTTTGAAATCTTGTAAATTGCTAATATGAATTTTTCTGACGTTTTTCTCCCTTTTCTCATTCTACTTCCATATTTCAGTTGGTTCATTCTTTGCCCAAATATACAACTATTTATTCTACACTGAGCAAATAGCAGGCAAAAGTTTCACACTTTTAAGAAAACTGCAAAGTTATCAGATTGAAACATAAAATGAGAATAAGAAAAAAAAAACAAAGATGATGGTTTAAAAAATTAATTTTATATTCGCTTTTCTATTGGAAAAGATCTTTCGAGGTTTTGAACAAAATTGTCTCCCTTCTGCTGATGAAGCCTCAACTTATTCAAATTTTAATTTTCAATTTAACGTTTCTCAATCCTCTTCAGGAAGTGCCTTTCGCTAACATTGTTGATTTGCCAGAATTTTTCTGTCTTGTATTTAGGATTGCTCATCATTTTTGATTTTAATATAGCTGAAAATAATTTTTTTTTTTTTTTTTTTAAATTTAGAACAAAGATTTTACATTCCGGGGACATGGTGATAGTGTTGATCAATTGTGCTGGCACCCAAGCAATCCTGATCACTTAGTCACAGCCAGTGGAGATAAAACTGTCAGAATATGGGATGCTCGCATCAACAAATCTGTGGCAACAGTCAATACCAGAGGTATCACTGTCAAGCTTTTTTTTTTAACTGCTCTATATAAGTCTGTGTGTAGAGGCAAGGAAAATAGTGTTATCATTATTAAATGAGGGGAATAATTTAAGTATCCTTTTGAAATCCAATTTTTTGCTCTCAGCACAACTTTTGAAGATACTGGTTAAACTCTAATCCTCAATTTTATAGGAGACCTTACAGCTATATTATATTGAAGCACCAGTTCCTGTATGATCACTGAAGTTAAGCAAAATCAGTCCTGGTTATAACCAAGATGGGTGACCAAAACTTTTGAGAGAAGTGGATAACCGCTTGAAATTGGAGAGCAGAATTCTAATTCTAAGCAGATTCGTTATACAGGAATCCCTTGATTAATTCATTTTCAATGAAATTTTTATATACCAAAATTTGATTAGTGTATACATAATACTCAATTTGCGTGGTAAAATATTCTTCAGTTTAACCATAGTAATTGAAAATTGATATTTTTATAGTTACAAACTAGCTGTACCAATCAGGGGATTCCTGTATTCACTTACAAAAAAATACCCTTAGGAAAGGTATGAGTTCACCTCTTCTCCCCTCAGCTATGGGTTAATTATTTCCAAAAAATTCTTAGAATTTAAAAATATTTTCTTATTTTTGATAAGCTGTAAACAAAAAATAAACAAATTAATTGATGAAATTTATAGGAAATAATGATAACTGGAATGGAATTTTTTGGCTCTGCAAGTCTCCAAATGTGCAAAGATTAACATTTAAGACACTGAATTAAATCAGTCAATATATTACATCATTGCAAAAGTTTGTGCCTGATTTTCATTGTTTTTAATTTTCTAATCAGGCACAAACTTTTGCAATGATCTAATATTATAGCAGTCAGACTTTGAATATGTATTTAATGAAGCTGGGAATTTTATTTAAAAAATCTCCTGTGGAATGATATAACATTTAGATACACATGTTTAAAAAGAACATTTTCTGAATTACAGTTTTTAGTATATTTGCTCTCTTTTTTTTTCTTTTTTTTTTCTTTCTTTATAAAGTGAATGCTCTTCCTATTTTTATTAGGTATATAATTTCTACACACTTGTCGCCCAACAGCATTTTGTCCTCTGTAATATTTTTGTACGGAATATATAAAAAAAAAACATCTGGGATTGTCAAACTATGTTCTGTTAGGACCTCTTGCCTTTCTTCAGCTTTTTGATTCTTGTGTGTCAGTGAGATAAAAACACACACACACGTGTGTGTGTGTGTGTGTGTGTGTGTGTATATATATATAATATATATATATATATATATATTTGTTTAAGTTTCATTTAATGTTATCCTAGTTAACAACTTTATTTTTTTTTAACAAGCAAAAAAAAAAAAACATAAATAAAATTACTTCTAGGTGAAAACATCAACATATGTTGGTCTCCAGATGGAAGCACCATTGCAGTTGGCAACAAAGAAGACCTTGTTACTTTCATAGATGCAAGGACACATAGGTCTCGAGCTGAGGAGCAGTTCAAATTTGAAGTCAATGAGATTTCATGGAATAACCAAGGGGATCTTTTTTTTCTGACCAGTGGGCAAGGAAGTATACATATTTTGAGGTTAGTTGTTGTTTTGTATTTAATACCTTGAAATCAATTGAAAATTCTGCAGGTTAATTTTATAATTTAAGAACAAGCTCAAAGTAATTTATTTAATAAAATAGAAAAATACTTATATTGTGGCTTATCCATTTAAAAGTTTTCAAGAACTTTGATTTTTGTGGAAAATATTCCTTTTCTTCTATACCATTTTTCTCTTTGTGATATTGGATTTTTATGAATATCTTATTTATATTGATTTATTATGAATATCTTTTTGTTCTCCACACAATTTGGGAAGATGCTATGTTTGATTCTCAGCTTTATAGAAAATGATAACAACCAGAATATTTTTCACTTTTGTCTTATAAAACAACAAGAATGTTTGGCAATATTTTAGTTAGAAGTATCTTATAGAAACTGAAATAGCAGGTATCAAATTATCTTTTTTGGTGATTTTCTTTTCAAAAGACCTCCATTCCATTTTTGTCAGTTATCCAGATTTGAAATTGCAATACGTCTTGAATGCTCACCCTGCCAACTGCATCTGCATTGAATTTGACCCCACAGGAACTTATTTTGCCACTGGCAGTGCTGATGCTCTGGTTAGTTTATGGGATGTTGATCAACTTGTTTGTGTGAGAACATTTGCTAGGTAAGTAAAAACCAATTTGTCTTAAATTCTCTTGAAAAATGTTCTTCTTTTCTTCCTCAATCATATTTTCATCCTGTCCTCAGAATCTCTATAAAGATTTTGAAAACTTGAGTTTTTACTAATTGCTAGAATAGGGGAAGGATTTGTGTGTGTGTGTGTGTGGAAAAAATAAGAGAGATGAACTTTTAAGTTTGTAATGAAGCTTTATTCAAACTGCACATGTGAAGTCCGACCATCACTTTTTAGAGTAGAGTAATTCCAAGGGGAGACAACTCTGGTCTATGTCTCCACAATCTTAAAAAAATTTTTTATAGGATTGGAGGCTGAATTGGAAAAGGAAGGAGTATGTTGAATCAAGAGTTGATTACATAACACTTCTAATTTTCATTGCCAGTCCTATATATTTACATTTTCAAGACCTCATGCCAGGTTGGTCTCTAGCAGTAAACTATTGCTCAGTGTGATTTCTAAAACAGTGTAGACATATTCTAGCATACAATACACCTACCTGTTTTGTGACATTTTTATTATATGCTGAGGTATCATTTAACTTGTTCTGCGGTAGCAACTGATTGAAACTAAAATGGCAGTTCTTATGAGGAAACAATCACCATCATAATCTTTATAGTTAGTTATTTCCAATAAATGGCAATTTCTCTATTTGTTGCCCAGCAAACAGTGATAACATTGAAATTTATATGAAGAACAACCATTCTGTGTTATATATAGGTGCCTCCAAAGATTTGCTAAAAAAGAATATACACAATGAAAAATGAGCCAAACTTAATAAAAACAAAGTTTTATCATTAAAATTGTTATTATTAAAGGGAAAGTTCAAATAATTCTTTTATTATTAGATTACATTTTTTTTTTTATCCTTTTTAAGACCTTTGAAGTTTTTGTAATTTTTTTTGCACCAACAGGTGACCATAAATTAGTATAATTACTTCCTTACTTTTCCAAACATCAGGCTGCTGTCGATAAATCATTAAACATGTCAGCAAAGTCAATGTCAATCTAGTCTGTTGGCAGATTTCTTTTCGCAGGGCATACTGTTGGTGTATGTGGTAGGCAACAATAAACTACAGAAAAACTCAAAATTGCTGCATTTAAGTATTGCATTAATATTTAAGCTTACCTTTAAAAGTTTAACAATTATTCTTCTGCTACCACTTAATTTAAAGACAATTTGATGTACGCAGGTCCTTACTTTCCATACAAACAATTATTTTTATTTCATGAGTGACTTTGGCTGGATTTTGAAGTTAATTTCAATCATTTCCAAATTTATTTCCAAGGTATAAAACTTACCGTACATAAAAATTTGTTGCAAAAAAAAAAAAAATCACATAAAAATATCGCTAAAAACAATTGCAGTAATGAAAACTTGGGAATTTCAGGATTGCAGATCTGGCCCAAAATGTTTTTAATTTGCTCATGGAGTTGGCCTGATGCCTATCAGAGTGAAGTTGAAAAACTGTGACACATTGACATTTGCATTTATTTATATAGAAGTAATATTTGTTTCAAATAAGATTAATTATACATTGTTTGATAATTTTCCTCAAATAATGTTTCATAGAATTATATCTTATTTTTGAAAAGTTTTTTAAAAAAAAAATGATTGTGGTTACAGATGTATAAATATGGACGAATTTAGTGATTTTTTTTTTTTTTTTTTTTTTTTTTGCCTCAGTAAAAAAAAAAAAAAAGAAAGATTCCAATCAATCTAAATTCTCTTTGAAATACACCAAAGTATCTGTGTTACTAGGAATAGTAAATTTAATGTATTAGGTATCAGTTTTTATTGGAGGTACCTGCATATATGTTGTATATTTCACCTTTCACAAAATGAGTCAAAATCCTTTGAATGGATCCCTCATCTGGTAAGGGAAGACATGAGTGACAGGTATCATTGTACTGTCTTTCAGCGACTGTTCACCTCAAACAAAAAATAATTCTCAGGTCATGAACTGTTAGAACACTAAATCAATGTGGCCAGTTAGAAAATATAAAGCAGGAAATGAACAGATTAAATGTTTATACATTAGGGCATATGTGAAACAAGGTGGGCAAACAATGGAAAATTTTGTCACAGGATCATATATACAGGCAGAAAGAAAAATATGAGAGAGGTAGGACTGGTATTAGACCAAGACATGAAAAATGTATCCTGGGATGCTGTCAATTATCTGAAAGAATTCTTGCTGTTAAACCAAAAGGAAATCCTTTCAACATATCCATCATAGTTGTATATGCACTGAATGCACAAAGTACAGAAGAAATTGAAAGGTTTTATTCTATACTAGACAATGCCAAAGTTCAATGCAAATCACAAGACATTACAATCATCATGGAGGACCTAAATGTTAAATTAGGTAAGGTGAAATACTAGGCAAATTTGGACTAGGAACTCATAATAAATGCAGTGAAAAATAAGTCCAATGGTGAACAGAATTTGATCAGGTTTCAAGAATACCCAAAATATGGACATGGAGAAGTCCAGAAGGAGAAACAAAGATCATATTGACTATATAACTATCGATAAGAGATTCAAGAATGCAGTTTTACAATGCAAAACATTCCCAAGTCACAACTGCAGGAGCGACCATATGATATATAATCTTAGAGTAAAACTATGGAAAATGAAGAGGGCCAAAGCAACATCCAAATTGAATATGACAGATTCCTGAATTACCCAAATGTAAAGGAAAAAAATATGGAGAGTGTTGAAATCAGATACAATGGGCAAAAAGAGAATGGAAACTTGAAATGGGACACATTAAGAGAAGCTTTACTAACATCAGCAATTGAAATCATCTCAAAGAAAACAAGAATGGATGATAGATGAAATTCTCAACAGGATGAAAAGCAGACAAAAAAAAAACAACAATGTCAAAGTATGGCACAGAATATAGTACTCTGCACAAAGAAATTAGGAACAAATCTGTATTCCTAATTTCTTTGTGCAGAGTTGGGAGCTAAAGAGGAGTGGCTCAATGAAAAATATGCAGAAATAGAAAGAACGAGTATCACAGATAGAGAAGATATGCTTAAAAGAATAAGAGAACTAATATGACAAAAGACCTGCCCATCAACAGGATGCATAAAATCCAAGGATGGACATTGATATTAAACAAAGAAAAATACTACAGAGATGGAATGAATACATCAGAGGACTCTTCCAGAAATATATAGAAATATCAAAGGATCAGAAGTCTGAAGTGAAATCAGCAGTGGATAAATTTAACAGAAACAAAGTGGCAGGGCTAGACAGAATTGTAATAGAGATGCTGGCAGCCTTAGATTATTTTGCATTAACAAGATTATAGACATAATAAATGAAATATACAATAATGGTGATCTACTGGAAAACCTAAGTAGATCCATTTCCTAAGAAGACGGGTGCAAATGAATGTGAACACCAAACAATTAGTCTAATGAGCCATATAACAAAACTTATCTAAATTCACATGAATAAATTCTTGTGCCACATCCTGCCTTGTGGAGAGGCTAAGGTAAATAACTGCAGTCCAAATCTATCTTAACTACTACAGACCTACTGTGTTCACTTGGCTGACCTTTCTTTTGTTTACAAACACCAACTCCTTGTTTGTGAATTTTTTTGCCTTATCAATTTTGATTTGCTTTAACTGTATTGTTTGCTTGCTTGCATGATTGTTGCGGTTTCATCTTTTTTTACCTTTTTTTCTTTTCATTGCAAACTTTATTAATTCTGATTATTTTATTTATCTTGCACTTTAACAATGGCTTCTAACTAAATGAATCAAAATATGAGCTATGGGAAACAAAGTTTTTGGGTTACACAAAATAATTTGGGCTCCTTTTGATTGTCCCAATGACAAAGACTACCATGAAAAGAATGCAGACATGTTTGCAATATTAATTCAATTTCTCAATGATCGAAGTTTATCTCTTATGAGAGAATTCCCTGATAATGGGAGAAAAGCACTGCAAATTTTGAGAGAGCACTATTTATCGAAAGGAAAACCAATTTCCCTGTATACAGAATTAACGTCACTACACAAAGCCAGCACTGAAACTATTATGTGTTATATTATTTGAAAAATTGGGCACTTTATTAAAGATTTATGGGGAAATTATTGGCAATGGTTTATTAATCACCATGGTCCTAAAAGGCCTCTCTGATTTCAAGACATTTACAACTGTTATCACTCAGAAAGACAAGCTACTAATGTTTAGTGAATATAAAGTAGCACTGTGAAGCTTCGAAGAAACGGAAAAAAATGATTCATGATAATAATAGTGAGACTACCATAATGTTACTCTAAATGCCACAAGCTAACATACCAACCTGTTTCACTTGTGGTAAACTTGGGCATCAAAGTCCTGACTGCTGGAATAAATTGCACAAATATCCAGTGAATAATTCCCCTCAAAACACTATAATTCTAATCCACTGAAAAAAATATTATGTCATGCTTATTGCAAGCTGGGACATAAGAGTACTGAATGCAGAAACAAAAAGCAAGCTAAGTAAAAAAAAAATGTGGAATATGTTTCAGATAATGAACATTCATTTATGTTTTCAGCTGGACTAGTCATAATTTCCAACAAAAATGCCTTGTTGATTGTGCTGCTACCACACATGTGATTACTGACAAATCTAAATTTCTTACTTTCCATGATGATTTTAATCCAGAAAATCATCATATCGAGCTGGCAGAAGTAATGCTCAAATCACTATAACCAATACAGACAGAAATGTGTGGCTGCATTTTAACAAATGCTCTATACATTCAGACAAAATATATTCTTGGTACAAGCTGCTACTGAAAAAAGAGCTTCTGTGAAATTTGGTTGTAATTACTTGAAACTTATCTATACTAATGGAGGTAAGTTTGACATAAAAAGAAATGGATGGTTATACTATTATACTTCTAGTAACCTCCAAAACTGCTACACGCAGCCTAAAACAATGGCATCAAATTTTTGGACATTACAATCTGAAAGACATTATACAACTACAAGATGTCATGGAAGGGCAGTGTCTCATCTGGGGGAGGTAGACAAGCCCAACCCTGTATATATAGGGTCTACAGGGTATTTTTGCCCAAGCCTATGGGCTCGGATTTGCCCCACTGTAAAAAACGGCCTTGTACCACATCCTGCCTTGTGGAGAGGCTAGGTTAAATAACCTCAGTTCAGATCTGCTTTAACTACTAGACAGACCTGTGTTTGCTTGGTCAACCTTGCTTTTGTGTACAAACATCAACTCCTCATTTGTGAATTCTTTTGCCATCTTATCAATTTTGATTTGCTTTAACTGTATTGTTTGCTTGCTTGCTTGCATGATTGTTACTGTTTCATCTTTTTTTACCTTTTTTCTTTTCATTGCAAACTTTATTAATTCTGATAGTGTTATTTATCTTGCACTTTACCAATGACTTCTGACTCATCAACAAGAACACAAAATACATGGTTGTTAGCAAAAGGAACAGCCCAACATACAAATCAAACCAGTACAACAATTTAAATATCTGGGGAAACAGAGGATGGAAAGTGCAACACTGAAATTCAAAGGTGCATTGGGTTAGCAAAAGATGCCTTCCCAAAGCTAAGCAAATTATTAAGAAACAGGATAATTTTGTTAAAAACAAAGAAAATAGTACTGAACTGTTTTGAAGTAACAGAAATGTTGCTAAGAATAACATGGACCAACTACAGATTTTATCAAGTAAACGGAAACAAAAAGGATATTTATAGTTTGTGACACCAAGCCATCGGCCGTGGTCAAATCCCAGTCACAACGCGAAGCTGTAAGGTTTCTTCTACCGGCGTTTTGGGGTTGACTCTCTGTTGCTGCCACCAGCCTTTGTCCCGGTCGTTCGGTGGTTGTCGCTACTCGGCGAAATCCCCCAGGTCAGGATACCAATATGTGACACTCAGCCGTCCAGGGTTGAATCCAGTATGTGGCACCAGAGTCGAGTTCTGGTCATCAATGTTGATGGCTTCACCAGTTGCACCGATTCAATGCCAACTTGATTCACAGCTCACTTGCAACGTCTGGTTACTGGAGTAACTGCCTTGATCTCAAGTCTAACCTACCCACGTTGTGACTTTGATCTTAGGTAGACGAGATCAATCAGGCGTCGAGTCGTAGTGTCACCTGAGTCCAAATTGAAGCTGGCATTGCACAAGCGCAAAGAAAAAAAAATAAATGAAAGAAAAACCCAAGAGGTCCAAGTATGTTAAGAAATAACAATTCAACTTTATCCTTCTGTTATATACAGGAGCATGTTTTTTTCCCAGCCCGTTTCCTATGAAATGTGACACTTCAAGCAAGTTGATGTCGTAACTTAACTAATATATTTTTTAAGTGCTGGCTTAACTTCGTTCGTCAGTATAACTTGCTGTTTGTAGTATCGGTGAATTCGGAGGTCATGGAATCTCTCAGTCAGCTTCTGCGAGGTAACACCCTAGTTTAAAACCAGCTCACTCAACTCAACTCCGACTACTGTTGAACTTCCCATCGTCGTTCGTTTATATGGGTATCGACCGAAACCTGGTGTGTCGGCCCGACACGGCCTGGGGTTCTCAGTAATCTCTATTTCTAACGAGAAATCTCTTTGTTGTCAGGACAGGAAAATTGATTATTTCCCATTTTTGGAAAATTAACCACTTCCCATTTTTGGGGGGGGTCTCCGTCGTTCGTGAGGGAAAGTCAGAGGAGAGCTATCCTCCTAGACTCTTTCTCTCTCACATTGATATCTCATACCAATCCCTAACAGTGGACGTCAACATCTTCTCCGTCTTTCTCATCCATTCACCTCCGCCTATCATCATGCTATCATACAACCAATGATCTCTCGGCAGTGCGGGTGTGGCTAAGCTGACCTCCTTAAAATTATAATCTAGAATTTTTGTTTACAAAATTCTCCTTGCCAATTAAATTTTTTATCACGTTCTCTTTTTCCTGGGCCACCCAAAAGTCACTTATCCAGCACTCTTACTGTCTCATTAACCACTGTCAAAGTTTGCTATCTGGTTCTTTATGCCAAGTTAGCCTTATCATGGAATCCTTGACTTGTTAAGGAATTAAATTTTTTTATCTCGTCAAATCTCAATTATCCACTACTTTCTGGAGATTGCCAAAAGTTTACAATTGCCACATTGCCGTTTGACATCTTAGTGTCTGTTGGCAAAGTAAATGATAACAATCCTCTCACCTATATCGAGACAATGCCAAAATTTTATAATTGCCACATTGCTTCTCTTCACTGGTATCCAAGAAAAAAAATTAAACGACATCTTGGAAAGATAATTAACATTGATTCCCACTGCCTGTATTGGCTGATAATTCCATATTTGCCTTTCTTTCTATCTCCTTGGCGATACATAAATTAACTCGACAGGACCTTACACACAGCTCTTTCCGCAGGTTTTTTTTTGTTTTTTTTTGTAAACAAATTAAAATCTTTCTTTTAACGTCGATCAGTCTGTCATTATAACTCTTTTTTTTTCCACTTTAAGAATGTCTATTTTCTGTTTTAATTTCTATGGTTAATTAGTTAGCCAATTACCATAGCTAAATAGTGTCACAGTTAACATCAAGATTAAAGTTTAAATTTCTAGGGCACATAATTTGTATGCTGAGTTTGATCTTGTGCTAAATTAAGCTGTACTTGGTAAATAATTACATAGTTTGTGTTTGTACACACAGGTTTAAAAAAATCTATTCACTTCTCTCTTGTTTATAGACTTCATTTCCAGCACCACTTCAGCATACTTTCCAGTTGTTCTAAAGTTTTTGATTTACTTATGCATATTTACCTGCAAAGATGATGTTACTGTATTATGAGGTGCTAAAATGTTTACATTTTTAAGATTTTCTTTTTTTCTCATATATTGGAGTTGATATTTTCTACTCTGAAGTTGATGGACTTTTTTCTTTATTTTTTATGTTGAAAAATAAAATAAACTTATTCATTTTCTCCCCCCATCTTCTTTTTTTCTCCCCCAGGCTCGACTGGCCAGTGCGGACCTTGAGTTTCAGTTTTGATGGTAAAATGTTGGCAACTGCCTCTGAAGATCTTGTCATTGATATTGCAGAAGTTGAAACTGGTTGGTAATCCTTCTGACTATTTAATTCTTTCATTGTTATATTGTTCACAGCTTCAGTTTCTTCTCCCTACCATATTGTTAATTGACATTCTTAAGCTTCTCACCCTGACTATAAATTATGCTCAAGCTATCATATTCGGAATTGATCTAGATGATAGACTGAATTTCATTCAATACCAAATCAGTATCATCTGAAATAGGTACCTAGACAGAAAACAAAAAAAAAATACAAAATTAATTTAAAAAAATAAAAAAATCTTTCTTGAAGCTTTTATTTTAGTTTCAATTTCGAACCAATATTTCCAATAAGCAAAATACTTTGCTGTATTTCAAAAACTAATTTAAATTGACTGAAAGGAGGTTTTTTGGGGTTTTTTTTTATTATAAAATAGTTGATTAGCACCCTGTTTTAGTTGTCTTTCATTGCAATGTAATTCTCTTTTTTTTTTTTTTTTTTTAAATCTTCTAAAAATAAAATGTACTTTTCTTTGAGGGATATTAATTGATTTAAAGTATGATTAATTTGATTTGAAACAAATATTTAAAAATATCACAAATGCATTTTTTTAGCCCAACAGTAACTGTATTTAACCTAACATACCTGCTTTTATTAAATTTTAGAAATGTTGACTTTAAATTTACTATACTCATTGCTCTTAATTCTTGATAATATTGTGTATGGTTACAAAAATGGGCACATTTATACACACGCAAAAAAATTCAAAAATTCTTTTCCAAATGTTGTAATGATGATTTGTAAGCTTTTCCATTTATGATTAATAAATATAGTTTTCACTTAATAATATCTAAAAGGCTGAAATTAATACAGAATTTTAAGATTTAAAACATAATAACTTTTACTAATTAAAAATTAAATAATAAAAAAAAAAAGAAACGATTAAAAAAATTCATTATTCACTGAAAAAATTTTTTAAGACAGTAGTATCCTTAATATATCTTATTTATAAAAGCAATTAAAATCTATTCTAATTAAATATAATGTCATAGTTTTATTGCATTTTTTATTTTACAATTCAGAGTAGATTTTTGGTAGATGGTGTTTCTGTTTCACAAAAACAAATTGATGATTTAAATTCTTCCAAAGAGAATTTAACTGTCAATACAAATATTATGAAGAGGCTGACATTTTAATTTCTTAAAATCTCAAAATTAAGTAAGTGGGAGTAAAAGATGTAAAAACACAAGATATTTGTACAAAGATTTTTTTTTTTAAATTAAGAATTTCAGTCATTTGTGAATTGTTTGATTTTTTGCAAAAATTTCCAAAACTTTTTTTTTTTAACCATGTAAAAGATGCTAAATTTCCCATACTAATCTTTGGCCCTGCTGCTGACAAAGAAAAATAAGATTTTTAACCAAAATTTAGAATGTGCTAGAAAAGATTGAAAAATTTTATAAGGTAATAAAAAAATACTTTTTGGTCTTTCTTCTTAATAATAACAAATATTTTGACAAAACTTTTTATCAAGTTTGGGGCTTTTTTCATCATGCTATGGTCTCTTTTTAGAGAATTTTTGGTGGTACCTAATCTAAAACTTGTTCAATATTTTCTACTTTTTTAATAAGCTTAGTGACAACTTATTTCTGTAGGACAAATAGAACCGCAAATTTGTTTGACAATGGTTACAGAACATAAAGTTAAATAAGACCCAGTTTTATTGTATAGAACTGTGAGGAAACACAATGTGGGTGGAGGAGTCTCTTGTCAAAGATATCAGTGAGCCAATGACCAGCACAACTGACCAACACTTCTGCTGGACATAGTACTACTTCAGTTGGAATAAAAGAAAAAAAAAACAGAGAATATACCTAACAACCAGGTCTCCTTCTTTTATGTACCATGTCCTTTGAGTATGTGGGAGATCCTGGCTCTCCACAACTGCAATTGTAAATTCACTCAGAATCAAAATGATGGAGCAGTTGTGCAAGTTAAATAGAATTTACTGGTAACTTCTCTAAATAAAATGTCAATGTTTTCATTCAACTGTACTGACTGCACCTCTGCAGGAGGTAAAAGTCCCACAAGGGAGGTGGGGGGCATGTTTGCAACCTGTGATGCCTGAGGAGAGGATTTTGGGGGTTTTAGTTGGGCTATACATCATACTTATTATAAAACCCAGGTTGTGTGTGTGTCTGTTTATATATTGGATCAGATTTCCTATATTTTTCAACAGATTTCAACAAAACTTCACAGGACTACATAAAATTACCTTACGGTGGTTCTGACAGCGCCAAAAATTGGAAAAACACAATTGTTTTTGCACAAAATCAATTTGAAAACACAAGAGGCATTGCTGTCGCAAGAATGAAAGGGGAACAACTCATATCGAGTTATACTTATTATAAAACCCAGGTTGTTTGTGTGTGTGTGTTCGTTTATATAGGGATCGGATTTCCTACATTTTTCAACCGATTTCAACAAAACTTCACTTTTTTTTTCTTTTTCTTTTTTTGGCAGGTAGTGTTTCTTATTGTCTTGCACACTTTTTTCTTTATTTTTACATTCAGAATGCTTTAAAAATTCCATTTACAAGACAATTGTTTATAATAAAATTCTATTCAATCGGTAGGCTCATAACAATTGTAAACAATGTTTTTGTTTGACCAATTCGTAAAAAAAAAAAAAAAAGAAAAAAAAACTAAGACATGCATATCCGTCAACTTTAAACAATAATCTTTGTCAATTTTATTTTTCAGTCTTTATGATGGTCGATACTTGATCTATCTCTTACTGTTACATCCCCGGGCAACTCCAGGCTCTACTGCTAGTATACTTTTAAAGTTCAACACACCACTTTGGCCCTTACTTGATGGAAAAGTTGGAGTGGCCTGATGCAATCAATTGACTGGTCACTTCAAGCCCTAGGTCAGATCAAATACTTCTCATAGCAGGACCCTTTCTCCCTAATCCAAGAGATAAGCTGCTCTCAATGTCATCTAATATCTGACCTCTAAGGCAGTGGCTGTAGGATCAGTCATATCAAGATACAAAGGACTTTGACAAAATTGGGCAGTCCTCTGAGTGAGTATTTACTTGTGTGTAGAAACTCATGACTTACAGGCACTCAAAGTTTGCTCCAGGTGTGAGTATACTATGTAACCCTGTTGGAGCAAAGTGAATGGGTTTTCCCCCTTGTTCCCTTCCTCTTGCACTCTGTGGTGGGTAGGGAGCACAGTTAACAAACATTTAAAAATGTTTATGGCTCTGCACAAATTAACCAAGAGACCCCATCTAAACACAGACATAGAAGAAGTGACTACTTATTTTCGTAGCTTCATAGTCCTTGAGTCAACAGAGGGAAAACCTATTACAAAGCTCTCTCCTTTTGCAATAAAATATCTCTTTGCATATGTGGCACCAAACTCTGTAAAAATTGTCTGCAACAACACTCTGTGGAAGTAACAAAAAAGAAATAGAGAGAGAGACCACCACCCCACCCCGAGGTGGGTTTAGTAATTAACAGTGCTAAAGAATTAATATGAAAGTGCTAATTACTTTGGTAGAAGAGATTCCGGAGTAATTCCAGAAATAAGTTTATTTTTTTTTCTCTTAATAATTGTTTCTGGGGTTGAGTTATTAGTTAATTACATGTAATAATTCCAAAGTGATTAAGAGACAGATTCGTTAAAGTAAAGTTTTTGATAAATGGCAAATTGGATTTTTGGGTGGTCTGAATAGCAGAATTCAACCAGATGGGATAAGTGGTTTTGGCAAAATTTAAGTGTACGTTGTCTGCGGAAACATATGGTGGTCCAGGTGATTTGCATATTAAAATTCGGGGGCGGTGCCTAAAGATGGTTTAGCTCCGCCTCTCTCTATATAAGCTGCCTGCACGCTTGAGTTAGTCAGATGAGTTTGGAGTTCAGAGATCAGAACGCAGAAGAGGTGGCTTGTTGGAATTTGCTGGTCTGATCTGTTGGTTGCCCTATGTCAAGAAGACCGATCCGAGCCAAGAGATCGAAATAGAACCCATACGAATCCAGATAACTTCGTCAACAAGGCTGCGAGAAGGCAGACTGCTATATCGTAGGGTACAGACGAAGATCCACGAATTACTTCCCTTAGATCATCCGAAATTGTTTAGGCAGAAATTTTCCTACTCTCTCTCTCTGACTTTCCGACCCAAAGGAGTGAATCTTGTTACAACATTTTGTACTCGTGTAAATTCTTCGGTAGAGACATAAAAAACAGTGGCCTAAATAGGGCTTTGTACAGGAACAGGAGTTGCTTCTTTTTTTTTTTCTTTTTCATGTGTTTGCGGCTACGACAAGAAACTTTTGCTGCATGAGCAGCAAAAGTTTCTTGTAAATAAAAGGAAATCACTATTCATATAGTGATTTCCTTTCAGCGAAATACCCAGCCATTTCCTCCCCTTCCCACCGGATTGTTCTGGGGAGATCAATACACTGCTGTTCGGATCAAGAATTCACAACGTGGCGAATAGTGGTGGTTCCTTCAGTTCACGGAGGAAGATTGGATGGATTTCTTTTTCGCCAGAAACCACGGGAGACAGGACAGAACTGCAACAGGCAGGGTTATTACGTTAGAAATATGCTGAATTATTATTAAAAATGAACACCCTCTACAATATGAAAATCAAGACATGTCCACACTGATCCCTTAACACATCCCAAGGAGTGGTGAGAATTCCTGAACTTCTACCTGTAGAAGTGAAGAAATAAAAAAACAAGCATTGGATATAAAGAGAAAAAATAAGAAAAACGACCAGTTAATTAACACCAATACTTATATTCACACTTTTGATACCCCACAAACTCCCACCTAAACTGAAAATTGGATATATGATAGTGATGGTTGACATATATATATATCCCCAATCCACTCTGATGCTACAAGTGCCAAAAGTTTGGACCCATGAAAGCTGGTGCACAAAAAAGACAATATGCAAAAAATCTGACAAGGATGGTTCTGACCACCCAGAATCCACAGCAAACGACTAAAATGTACAAGCTGCAATGGAGATTACTTTGCTGACTCAAGTCTCTGTGAACTATGGGGGGAAAAAAAAAAAAAGAGAATGAAAATTAAATACACTCAGACGTCCTTTTTCCAAAGGCACGAAAAATTGTAGAGACTACTTTCCCAGCTCAGTTCTGCACAAGAGTAACACAACCTACACAAAACCCATTCCCGAATGTCAAAAGTGCAATTTCCTCATAGAAAAAATACTAAATGAACTGGACAAATTTCCAGCACTTCTGAAGGGGCTACAGGCTTCTATATCCCAAACTAAACAAACTTTACCCCCAAATCCAAAATCTAGAGTAAAACCCAGTCATAAAGAGAAAATGATACCACAATCATCCTTCCAATCAGGAACACCCTCTAAAGACACCCAAACAAAGACGATCAAGATCCCCAACAAAACCACCTCTCTCTATAAAGAACTCACTGACACTGAAAGAGATAACAACCTCAAGTAAACAAGAACCACCTAAACAAAAATGTCAAGATAAACCATGTCGGTGATCCAACTCCAGACACAAAACATAAGAAACTATAACTTCCCATGAAACTCATAATAAATTCAATATATTGAAAAAAATGTAAACAGAAGAAAATCCAAAAACACAACACAAACCACACAAAAAATAAAACACTCAAAAGCACAAGACCTAAATATAAATATAGGTCAAACCATAATACAATGGAACTGTTGTGGAATCAAAGTAACCTCAATGATTTGTTTTTGTTGCTAACGACAAGATAAATATAAAAAACTTTGAAAGCTCTAATCAGGGCCTCTGGTGTGCATTGATCTTAATTAGGAATGATATACACCAAAGCAAAATTAATCTAAATGCCAACCTACAAGCAAAGTAACCTACACAGAATTATCAATATTTGCTCTCTATTTATCTGGCCACATGATTCTATCAATGAAAATGACCAACAATTTCCCAAGCTTATTAGGAGATTTCAACAGCAGCAACAATATTATATGAGAATGTTAAAAAAAAAAAAAAACAATACTTGAAAGGATTTATCAATGATAAAAACCTATGCCTCTCCAACATATCTTGACATCTTCAGGCACTAACCCAGCAATTGATCTAACTCTCCATAATCCTCAAATCTTGGGCTTTACCTGGAGAGTACATGACAACTAAAGTGGCAGTGACCATTTCCTGATTATAATTGAGGTCCTACATCCCGATGAAGAAAATCTCTCCCAATGAAGACTAAAAGTAAAAACAGGAAACTGGGAAAAATTCCAAACACTATGTCTCTAACACCTGATAAAAAAGTACAATACCAATAACACTGTCAATGATTTATCAATATAGCCAAGAAATGCATCCTAAAGAACTCAGCCCCATATAAACATAACAAACACTGGTTCAATGAAGAATGCAAGAAGGCTATACATTTATGATGAGCAGCCCTGCACAAATTTAAAGCTGCTCCTACAACTGGCATCCTAATCTTCTTCAAACACCACAGAGCAAAAGTATGCAAAGTAATCAAGAAGAGAAACTCCTGGCAAAATTATGTTAGAAAGCTCAACCTTTCTACAATCTGGGATATGATTTGCAAAATCTCTGGGAAAAACCAATCAACTCCCCTAAAACACCTCTCCACAAACCATACCAAAATAACTGCCAAAAGGGATATTGCAAATGTATTAGATGAAACCTTAAAAAATATTAATCCAGCCAAAATAACCAACAATTCATAAAAACCAAATGAAATGCTGAAAGTCAAATTACAATTCAAATCCCATAACTCGGAAGCATATAACAAGCTGTTCACTTTACCAGAACTGATGGACTTCATAAAAAAATCCTACAGTACAGCCAATGGTCCAGACAAAATAAATTGAGTTTTTTAAAAAATTGCCCAAAGAATTTATGATGTATCTTCAAATTTCCAGATAGATGGAGACAGAAGACAGTTGTTCTCATCCCTAAAATTGGAAAGGATAGTACAAATAAATTATTATCAACCAGATTTATATTTTCATTTCTTGCTGTTGTATTGATTTCATCTTTTGTCCTTTGTGAACATGTAGTGAAACTTTCCCAGTATTGTGAAATAAAATGTAGGAATTGATTTGTCCAGTGAGTAAAAGATTGATACTGGGACCCTATTTTAGTTTTATAGTTTAATTTTTAATTTTTTTTAATTGTGTCAGTACAATTTTTTTCCCATGTGTTATTGACAGAAGTTTTTTGGTTCTTCTTTGGTATATTTTCAATTTTTTATTCTTATTTTTTTCTTTCTACTGAAGAAATGATCAACCAGATGTGCTGAAAATAGCAAAAGAAATAAAGATACTAGCTTAAATAAATGTTTTATTTATAATACCTCACCTCAAAAGACAATTTTCTCAACAAATATGCTTTAGTTATTATGATCTTTTGATTGAAAAAAAAAAAACATTTTATATTGGCTTACATACTATCATCCATCATTTACTTTAAACTTTGAGTAATGTGAATTTTTATTTTTTATTTATTTATTTTTTCAGGTCAAAAAGTGACAGAAATTCCTTGTGAAACTCCAACATTTACTGTAGCATGGCATCCGAAACGGTACCTTCTGGCATTTGCTTGTGATGACAAACATGAGAGAGGTGACCGTGACTCTGGTGTAGTCAAAGTCTATGGCTTCCCAAATGACTCTTGAATAAGAAACACTCATCTTTAGAATTGAATGCTTCAAAGTTTGCATATTTCAGAATTTTTCTCTGTAATAAAAATATTGCTGAGTTCATTTTCATCATCACTAATCATTATTATTGATCAATAGAAATCTGAGCTGACTCTTGATTTTGTGGATTAAATATTGAATCTCAAATTAATTTTAATGCTGTTCTTATAAAGTTATGTGTAATGTCCTCGTCTCATACAAATTACTGAGAACCCAAGACTGAATCTCTCATATGTAACACTATTGTTTATTTCAATTCAAACTTCTTCAACCACCATCATCCAGCACATGTATGACTTTGGGGTCTTCTCCGAAAGTGGACCCTACAATCTAATGTGGATAGAAGAGTCTCATCCCTAAGATAGGTGTTTAAATATCTCTCATGTGGTTCTTTTTCCTGTGTGCACATCTTGGGCACAGTTGGGTTGATTACTTTTCCACTTCTTGTAAGGTGCACATTTGCACTTACTGACTAGGAGGCACCAATGCACCTGGCTTCCTTGTAGGATACTCAGTGAAAAAGTCCTCTCCAGCATCAACTAAGGTGAGTCTCTCACACGTGTATGGGTGTGAGAAAATCATATTTCTTATATTTCAATATACCTATATGACCTTGATCAATTTTATAAACATATTCTATATGTTAGGAAGTTCAAGTGTTATATAATTTTTAAAACCAAAGGACAGTTAAATTTGAAAATATTTGAATCTTGATGTTTTATTTGTCAACTCCATGATTAATCATTCAACATGAAATACACAGATTCTTTTTTCATTTCAATTTATTCTGAATGGAAACTATGTTCATTTTGAAAGTCATGTAAACAAAGACAAAGAAATAAGTTTGTAAGTAATGTGATTTCCTTAATGGTGTTAAAATAAAATTAGATGCAAATAAAATATTTCAAGCTTGTAGAACCTGTAATAATTTCAAAGTGCCTCATTGCAATTGAAAAGCAAAAAGCAATTCATGTGTCAATAAAAGAGAAAAATAAATTTTATTTCCAATTCTAAGTAGAATCTGACCCATTTACATATTTGATGAAAACAAGAACTTCTACCTTTTCTTTCTGTTGCAATCTGTAAAGTTTCTCTAACACAATATTTTGATTTTTTTTTAAACAATTTATAAACAACTATTTCCACAAAGGGAACAAGTTAAAGAAGTTAAAAATAGGTTACAACAAACAAAATAGAATATTAGTTTATAAAATGATTTTTTTCTTTTGTATGTATTAAAATATTGTGATTATAAAAATATGTATATATTCTTAGTTAAAAGTTGTGTAATAAAATATTTGTTGAATTGAACTAAATTTAGCACATGTATAGAATATTGTTTGGAGGAAATTGAATGACTTGCTTGCAAGATCAGGTTACTAACCAAATGCCAGAGTGAGGCTGATATTCCCTTGTAGATTTATAAATATCTATGTCTTATTGATATCAGATTTTACAAGGTCATTAATCCATCTTCAACATAGAAAGGCAGGGTTCTGTTTTTAAATTTAGTTTACCTTTCCAGACAGAGTGCAATTTAAAATCCTGAAACCTTTGACATCAACAACAATCACCTATTTCACATATTTTATTTTTTTAAATTCAAAACCCAGGTCAATGTGTTTTTATTTTTAGATCTATTTTTCTTTGTTGTATATTAGAATGATTTAGTCATTTCAGAGAAAAAGGACTTTTTTCTATATTTCTTAATGAATAAGCACAAAACAACTTTTTAATTTGTTCTCCCATAATGCAGAAATTAATTTCAAATTAAGAATTTATCCTTAGTTTATCATTCAATCTGGTTACAAATTTCCAGTTAGCAAATGAATCATTGAGTCCAAAAATACATTCTAATTTTCACTGGCCCTTCATAAGCTAACCTTTTTTTTTTTTTTTTTTTTTTTTTTTTTTTCTTGAAATGATTAAACTGATCCAGGAGCTTCCAACATTAAGAAAACTTCTTTTTGTTTCTGCATACATTAACTTTTTTTCTTCAACTACAAAAGGAAATATTTATTTGCCATCCCAGTCCTTCACAAAATATTCAATTTCTTTTTTTTCCTTTTTTTTTTTTTTTTTTTATAAAATTGTTTTTACACAAAATAAGAGTTTATACATGGATAGTCTATATTTTTACATACATTATGCATGTTTTTCTAAACTTCATTTTGTCACTCATGCTTGATATTATGCCTTCTTTATTCATACATATTCCAATAAAGATCTGCCACTAGTAAACCTTGAACCCTCGATACTAATCCCAATCAAATGGTTCTGTAATTTTCAATTCTCTGCAGTTCTCTTGAAAATGTCTGTCTTTGGAATTCTTCTGTCAGAAGAAAACTATGGGGAAAATTGTCCACCATTCACTGTTTTATATGCAATCTTGAGGCCTTTCCATAATTTATTCCTAATATTCACTGCTGTAAACTATAATTTCACCACAGGCAATCACTTTTATATCATAATTTACTTAACTTCATCATCATTATGACTACTAGCACCATCAGTGCTACTGTAAAAGGACTTTTAACAAAATACTGGCAATGTTCATTAGCACAATGATACCTAAATATACCTTGTCATTAACCAGATTTACATTCAGCTACACTACTAGTAAGGTTTTTTGCAATAACTAAAATGCCTTTATAATGAACTGATAGCTTACATAGTTAAGAATAAAAAAAAAAAGAAGCCTTTTTTCCTGAATTCGGCCCTGTTGAAATGAGCTTGTGTGTCAGTCAAATATAGTAAAATTCTGAACCTGCTTGATTTTCACACCACAAGACTAAGCTTATAAGCTTAGGATGTCCCTTTTATTGACAATCATGCATTCTGCTTTCTTACCTTTTATATATATATATATATATATATATATCCTCTCGACTACGCTTCTTCAAAGAACTTAAAAATGTAAAACAAACCCTAATCAACAACGGCTTCCCTAACCACTTTATAAACCACCAAATTAGACTATTTCTCCCCAAAGTAAGTAATAATGGTAGTAAACATAGTCAAAAATTATATAAAAATTTATTACAAAAACCAAATGCACTATAAACCAGACGAATCTTCACTAAGACATAAAGAAATACACTACCCCAATTGACCTGGAAAAAAAAAATTCAAATTTATTATCTATTATAAAAAATTTAAGACAGCTAACCTTATCCTCAAAAATAACAACACACCAGTTAAGTCAAAATTACAAAGAACGAACATTACTAATGAGTTCAAATGCCCCTTAAGGAACTGTGTTCCTGATCAAATCAGACTCATAAATAATTACATTGGTTACACAAATACATGCTTATCCAGATGCTTTACATTACACCTAACTGATCATAGCTCCAGTAGAAGCCATTCAAACACACACACACACACACACACACAAACTTACCAGACTCCATTAGAAACATGCTTATAAAACCCAAAAATGTAATAACTTCATCCACTTGTAAAAAAAAAAAAAGATTAAAAATAATGGAAGCTTTAATAATAAAAAAGAAAAAGCCAACTCTTCACAATATTAACTGTGAACAGGGACACAATGTGCTAACCGTATTTGGAAATTAAAAACATCTCTACAACACAGTAAAACATACACATAATGCACACACTCCATTAAGCTGAAATATTGAATCATCTTTGATAATGGCTAAAGGTGAAAGCATTCGGAACTATAAAACATTTGGACAGTTTTTACACAGTCTTTGTCCAGAAAAGAAAGGTCTTGTTTGAATACAAGAAAAATTAAATAAAAAAACTTAACCATGGTACCTTGTCTGTCGTTTTTAATGAAACATGCATAAAGGAAAGATTTCTGCTTAAATATACAATTTCATATATATATATATATATATATATATATATATATATATATATATATATTTAAATAGGTTTGAAACGGTACAAAAGCGTATTAAGGCATTAAAAACAAGATAAGTTTAAAATAAAACACACACCAGTCGACCGGTTTCGTCCCCTCTCATCAGAACTGTTAACGGGGAATTTAAATTATGAGGAAAAGAAAAAGTCTGTCATGGGTGACATGGACAGGGAAGGAAGGAAAAAAAAAAAAAAAATTAAAATTATACCAACCAAGCTGCTAGAAGCAAGTCCAAGCAAACAATCTCTTTGTTTGCAAAGAGCAGGTTGCCTGGACCTGATGTAAAGCGACTCCAACACCTTAAGATGGAAAAGTGAGTGCGAACTGGCCAAGACGGAAAACCAGTTCACACTGAGATCCATCGCGCAAGTTGGATTCTTTATAAAATGATCCGCAATCGAAGACCCATACGTGTTACGAATGGTATCCTTAAAGAAAATTTTTTTAGTATTATCGCAGGTACGTGTTGTTTAATTCTCACGTCCAACCGCTGTGTCGTTCTACCTATGTAGTCGCATCCACAACTACATTTGAAATAGTAAATAACAGAATTAATATGGTGTGGGGGTAGAACATCTTTACACATAGATGAAAGTACGGACTTAGTTTGAAAGACAACACGAACGTTCGCTGCAAAATAACACTCATGTGAACTACATGAAATACGCTTGGCGAAGGATTCACTAATCCTACCCAACCACGGTAAACGAAGATAGACCGGACATTTACCTACTGAAACAGGTTTGATTTTGTTGAACCTGGCGGTCTCATCTCGAATAACCGATTGAACAATGTTCAACGGATAACCATTGTTCGCAAAGATCTCAGTTAAACAACTGATTTCATGTTTGAAGGTGTCATCCGAACAGATCATTAACGCCCTATGTGTCAGGGTCCTAATCAAATTAATCTTTTTTGTTGTTTATGACAAAAGGGTCCCAACGAGTATATAGTCCTGTAAAAAGTAGACTTCCTGTACACAGAGGTAATAAACAAGGAAGGAGTTCTTTGAACAAGAACATCTAAAAAGGGCAATGAACCATTGACCTCCTTATCTACTAACAAATTTAAGGGCAGGATGAAC